CGGCCTCCAAGGAGGTCTACTCTCGTACTGCGTGATCAAATTGCCCCCTGCGCCACTCATTTTTAGCTCTTTGTGAAGCAAATCTGCGACTGCAGCCTTTGGCAATCGTCAAATCATGTAACACCAAAGTTGCTCATGGGAGCAGGTGACAGATGCCGCTTTCAAGGAAGCTGTTCCCGGCATCTAGATCTCCCGCAAGACCACTCTTCAGCAGCTTTGACACGATAACGCTGCTAATGCAGTGCCGGGGCCCATCCCCTGTGCATCATGAACTCCTGAGTGCAGAGCACGTCAAAGACTGATTTTTTGTGAACCTGCATATCTAGGCAGAAGCCTCATGCCTAATTGTAGTCCTAGATTCGTAGGCAAGCAAAGGCAGACCCACGAAAGGAGCCATAACCAGCTTCTTCCTGCCGGATCAAAATTCCTGGGTTTACGCCTCTGCAAGGGCAGTCAATTCCCTGCCTCATCCCACTGAAAAGGATGGAGCGAGCAGGCTGCGGCTTTGCGAGGCTGAACTCAGCAAAATGTCTGAAAACGCCTCAGCACTCAGCGGCAACAACACCGACACCACCAGCACCAGCACCACCACCACCGCCGCCGCCGCCACCACCACCACCACCACCACCAGCAGCAACAGCAGCAGCAGCAGCAAAAACAACAACAGAAACTCCATGCACACCTTTCAAGGTGTCGCAAAAATTTGTTCGACATCAAGACACTCTTTGGAGTAGTTGGCTTTCTTCGGGCAACATGCCACGTAAGCACGTTCTCGAATGGAGTGCCAACCGCCACCATCATTATTCCCGAGAGGATCGCACCTGAAACCCAGGCGAAAGCATCCTTCTCACCAGAAGAATCCACGTGGCGGCGAAGCAAAACTATTGCGTTTGTCTTGAACCACTCATAACTTGTAAAAAAAGTCACCAGGGAGCACGTCTCCTGTACCAGAACAAAAGGATAGTTCAGAAAGCAGGCTCGCACTCCACCTCTGCAGTACAATTCAACAAGAGACTGCCGCAGGCCCTTGTGCTCCGCCTTCTGTACCGCTGCGATGTGATCTTCCCGCCCTAGCCGTATGTTGTACAGGGGCGTGTGCAGCGTGGCCTGCACGAAGCCTGGTTTCTCAATGCAATGTCCAATACTTGCTCCTACAATCTCCTGCAGGACTGGAAATCCTAAGAAGTCAAATTAGAAAGAAACTATGGAGAGCTGAGACACCAGCAGCGGAAGCAGACACTGCCTCACATCCAAGCGGGTTGTCCGCAATTTTCGGGTTTTCCGCGGCCAACATGTGCAACCAAAGCCGTGTGTAGGTGTACGTATGAAACATGGACATGGCAACCACCGCGTTGGCCAGGTACGGGCCCGTTGTCTTGGCACCAATGCCTCGAACACCACGCTCCTTGTGTTCTTGGCGTATGGCATCCCAAATTCCAGATGGATGCAAACGAAAAGGGTCCAAAGGGCTGAAGACTTGTCGCCGAAATAGACGCCAGGGGTTGCGCACAGCTGACTCAATTGATACAAACGTCTTGGCCTTGACCATGAACATACACTTCTTCATGACAACTACGCTCATCTTCGCGATGCCAAGAAATTTGAACTTGAGAGCAAGGAGGGCCTGGAGGACCGCCACCCCGC